TTTTTGGTGCCAGGAATCGAACTCAGGTCCTTACACTTGCCAGGCAGGCACTTGTGCCAATGAGCTATATCCCCAGCCCCTATATTTCATTCTTAAAGTAAGACATTTCTAATTACATTCTGTTGTTAAAAAGAGTCATGTTAGGATAAAATTCATTTAAAAATTGGATTCAGGCACCAATAATTAAAAATAAATACCTTATGAAAGAAGGTGAAATTATGTGATTAACTAATTGGTGAAGGTATTTAAGGGTAAAAAGAAAAAATGCAGATGGAGAAATTGAGGATTAAACCAAGGACCTTTGCACTGAGTGACATGCCCGCCATTTAAAAAATTTTAGTTTCTTCTTGAGATAAGGTCTCTTTAAGTTGAGCAGGCTAGCTTTGAACTCGTGATCCTCCTGCCCCACTCTCCCAGAGGGCTAGGATTCAGGCCAGTGCCACCACGCTTGGCTTACTCTGTTCCATCTTTGCTTTCATCTGCCCAGTACCCTTTTAAGATGAAGCTCTCCTGAAATGAAGGTTCCATGCCATTCTTTAATATGACACATGTACGGGAGCTGTTTTGATAGAAACCACATTAACTTCAAGACCTCAGGATGAAAAGTATGAATCCGAGGAGGAACAGCGCATGGATAAATTTCTAAAATGCTTATAATGTGTTAGGTACTTTATACTTATGAGACATGAGCTATTTTTTAATCTTTGCTGTCCTCATATGGGGGCTGATGAGGCTCAGCATGTTAAGCAACTTGGAGAGGCACCCAGCTAGTCAGCGGCAGATGTGGGACTGGGACCAGGCTTGGTTTTCTCTAAACGATGCTCTTGGCCATTCTTTGTTACTGGATGCAGCACAATGTAACTGGGAGAAACACAGACATAAGCCCATTCTCTCAGCCATTGTTGAGAAGCATTGAGAAAAGCATGCTTTGTTTTGAACATGAGAGATCCTGGCCACTGGCTGTATTCACCATATGACCCCTGGCCAGTTACTCAGACTTTAAGAGGACCTTCAAAACTAGGGTGATGTGGACTCTGCCCAGCATCCACTCTACCCTGACCTCTCTCTAATGTCATACACCAAGAAGTCCCACTGTCTTTCCATTGCTCCTCAGCCAACCCTTTCCTGTCTTAAGAAGCTTTGCAAATTCTGTTTCCTCTAGAAAGCTGTCACCTGCCTAACGCATCTTTAGCACCTGTCTCTTTAGGGATGTACACGATGCTTCCTTTGCTATTCTTTCACAGCACCTTGGTATGTTCAGTCCTAGCACATGAACAAAGTTTCTGTTACAAATTTCCACAGTTGATGTCTGTTGCATTCCACCAGGGGTTTGCAAACTACGGGCCCCACGTCAACTCCAACTGACTTCTGTTTTTGTCAGTGAGAGTATACTTGAACATAGACACACTCGTTCATTTATATATTGTGCACAGGTGCATTCAAGCTCCTGCGGGTGAGGTGAGTAACAGGCACACTGCACAAGGCCCCAGATATCTCCTATCTGTATTTTACAGAGAACTCTGCTGACCGGGTGTCTTGGTTACTTTTCTCTTGTTGCTGGGACAAAATACCTGATGCCCAAAATTAAGGAAGGAAAGGTTTATTTTTCTTACAGTTTGTGGAGGTTTCAGTCCAGACTTGGCAAATTATAAGGCAGAGTGGCACATGGCAGAGAGCTACAGCTCAGGGTGGCGACACAACACAGCAAAAGCAGCAAGGGAGGAATGGCGGAGGAATGTCCTCAAGCACTCTCCTCCTCTCCCTTACATATGCAAACTATCCACCCCAGGGCGGGTGCAGCTCTCAAACCCTTAATCAAACTTTAAAAGCCTGCCCCATGACCGCATGAGGCTTTGAGGGGACACACAGACATAAACCATAACACCGGGTGGCAGATGGTAGTCTGGGTGGAATTCTGATTCGTCATTGATTACTTAGTATTAGGCACATTGCTGACTAGTAAGATTTATTGATTTAGCAAAGAATCGAACTTTTCAGCTATAAAATGGGATTACTGAGGATTAAATAAAACAATATATGTATGTAGCTCTTGGAACATAATTGGTAACTATTTCATTAAGCTTCCTGAACATATCTGTAAGAATCTGACAATTCACGATCTTATTTACTATTATATATTTGCTTAAGAAAGCCATCTTGTTTAGATGAAAAGTATCAAAAGTAGTTTTCATGAACTTGGAAATGAAATTAAAAACACAAAAAAACTGGTCATTTCTGTCCTCTCCTCAAGTGTTTTATGGATACACCTGGAGCTTCTGAACCTTCCTCATTTCTACTTCCCTGAGAAAGGACAAAGGCGGAACTCGGTTGAACAATGCGCCATGCTGTCTTACACCAGTTATACTTCTTAATGGTACCCAGTTCAGCCCATCAGCTCTGCAGCACTCCAGTTCACACTGTTAGCCACTATTCCTCTGTCTGGTAATCCACACCCTGTTCTGTGCGTGGCCACAGAGAGCATCGCCATGGCAGAGCAGTCTTCGGGACTGTTAAGAAAAGACGATGCTGAGCATTGTGTGAAGGTTCCCTGGACAGTCTACCCGAGGGCAGGCAACTTCAAAAAGAGCAAAGTCGTGAACACTTTTCTTTTCTTTTTTTTGTTTTTTTTTTTCTGGTACCGGGAATCAAACTCACGACCTTGCGCTTGCCAGGCAGGTGCTGTGCTGCTGAGCTAAATCCCCAGCCCCTGAACACTTTTCTTTTCAACGTGTGAACAGACCATTTAAAGGAAGCCTGGGTTAGGGTTGCCTCCATAGATATGCTGGCTTTGATTATCAGAGGTGACCTATATATTTGAGGCTTCCTCCCAAATAGCTCTTTGGCCCACTCTTGGAGGAGTGGAGAGATGAATATTAACATGTAGTAGAGCTGTTTAAAATTGTCAAGAGCCATCTAACAATGATCACTGAAATATTTATTTATACATGGGAAGGTTCAGTTTTATTAACTCTGTTTAAGAGTATGGAATTACAGGGCCTATTGTGTCTTTCTGGTGAAGAAAAGAATAACTAGACCTTAAATCCTACAGAATAAAATTAAAGACTTCATTTTTAAGGCTTAAAGTGAAATTAGATAATTTTTTCTTTTCCCCAAATTGTGACTTTTAACATACCTGAGAGTAGCACTACATTTAGATGTAACTATACTTAAACTTATTTACAAGTTCATTTGTTAGCCCAAAAGTACAGTGTTAAAATTCTTGTATCGCTATGTGAGATTTAGGTCTATAAAGCACAATGGAAATTCATGAATTCAGCCCACAAATTTTGTTTTCTATTATTGTATGTTTGTTTGTTTTTTGGTTTTTCGGTTTTTCTCCAGTACCAGGAACCGAACTCATGACCTTGCGCTTGTCAGGCAGGCGCTTTTGCCGCTGAGCTAAATCCCCAGCCCCTCTATTATTGTAAATGAAAGGAAGATATTAATGAATCTCACAAATCTAAAAATGACCTCACATCATTAATATAGTATAAAGGTGAATTTGTGCAATTTTTGACTACATCCAAAACAGTCTAGTCAAAATAACGAGGCCAGAATAGTCAATGGTACACAATGTTCAATATTTTAGGCTTAATGTCAGTTTCAAGCTATAAGCCAATTGAAAAGTAGTGGCTTAATCCTGGTGCATTTATGGCTTTTGGTCTTGATCTATATCAATTAACAATATGTTTGAAAACACTGAAGGAATCCATCAAGACTCTCAGTATTATTCATCCGTCAGTTTAATTCAGTCCAAACTACCTCCTGTCCCATGTACCTTAAAACGTATAATAATATAAAGGGGAATAAACTTGAAAATCTGAAAAGCTTCTTGGGTTTTAATGGCTTACTGGAATTGGTGTCATAGGCAACAACTTCTTTTCATTATAACTTACATATATAATAACACTGAATTAATAAGAATGAAATGAATCTATTCTAGTTTCCCATGTATGTTCAGGAAGATGAAAAGGGAAATAGGGAGATGACCGTCTCTACTGGGGGGTATTGCAGTCTGGTGGACCACCCAAAGCCATCATTAGCTTTTTTCTGCATCCATGAGCAAGAGACAAAGCAGTTCTCTCCGAGGCCATAGAATACCTGTTCTGGGATCCAGTACTCCTGCATTTTCTCTCAAGGCCATTATTTGCTGATTAACATTAAAGTGATTATTTGATTGTTCTACATTAATTAGGATGTGAACAAACACCTAGCTACCCAAACCCAGCCTAACTAAATCCACCTTTCCCCGCATGAAGACAGCTGAGCACTATCGCAGGTACTCATGCACAAGTCTTTCCTCCCAAACTGAGCATGTGCGTGTGTAAAGTCTTTGGAATTGATCAATTGTATCATGCAGACACTGTCATAGGAATGCTAGGAAAAAATCCTAACACCATCTGCCCCTGCTTATAAAATCCAGGACCTAAAGAATGAATTAACTGAAAGTTTTTGCCTGTATCTTTGGTGTTACTAGTATCTTGTGTGGGTGTTTCCTTTGTTGTTGTTGTCAGTAAAATCTTAAAAAGTTTTGGATATATTTCAAAGTCTCTTGTATGGTGGACAGAGTGAAAGTCATTTTTATGCAGAGTATTTGGCCTACATTGTAAACCTTGAAATAAATGACTGCAAAAGGCCTCGTTCCCATGACTATAAGAATATCTTTGTTTGATGATGCATGCCGTGTAGTAATGCTATGCTTATTAACTCCTACTTATTAAGCTATTCATGTCACACAAGTACAGCTTCCATTTAAAATTCATGTTGAAGGAAAAAGTGAATAATCAGGAACGTCTAGACTGTATTTCTAACAGTTAAGGTGATTTTTTCTCCTTACATGTAAGAGATTTACATGTAAAAGATTTCCAGTTAATTCACAAAACTTCTCATCATGGACATTCATAAGTTCACAGTGCTTTTAGCACCCTTAACGCATCTGGGGGAAATGCCATAAACAGTCTACCTAAAGAACGACACAAAGAGAATCTTAGTGTGCTCACCTGTCTGTTACGTTCATCCATAATCCTCGTAATCTGAATCTTTTTTCTCCCCATCGTCCCCGTTTTTCTTCTCTCTCTCGTTCCTGAAATTATGTATTTTTTCCTTCCTTTTCTTTCTCCTTCCTGTTTCCTTCCAACAAATTTCCTTCTTCAGCACTTGCTCAGCTCACTTCCAAAATTCCTGCATTCGTTCCTGCTGAACAACGACAAGAAAAAATTCAGTGACTCTGTAACAGCCAAGCCAGTTTCATAAGGACTAGCATATTCTGTCATCAAGGAAATAAACTACATGGAAGAAAAAGCCATTAAATAAATGAAAATACCTATTAAAAGTACATGGTATATATTATATGTAGAAGCAGAGCAAATAGGGATGGTTTATTTTTATAATTAAAATAACCTCATAAGTAATTTAACAAGTCATTTAAATGATGAGAATTATACTTTAGAGCCCAACATTTGAAATGAAATGTATTTTTTGGTAAAGAATTTCTTAATATTTTTTAATGAAATTAGGTGACAATTTCACCTTTCTCTTATGAAAAATTACCTAAATCAGAGAGTTAATGAACCTTTATGTACCTGTGTATGCTAAGCAGGGCAGCTAATTCATTTCTGAAGGGAAAACAATCTTGTGTTTTGACAGCAGAGGTGATAACGTCCCTGGTTATGCAAATAGGATGGACGATTATGAAAGTTCTATTTGATACACGTAAATGTCAATTAATTTAAATCTAAAGGCTTTAATCTCACTTTTAAAAAACAAATCATTCCTATGAGAACACTGTAAAAGTAACGTGGGATATTTTGTCTTACATTGCAAGCACTTATCAACAGTGAAATCTTTTCCTACAGGTTGAACACAAGAATCCAAAAAGATGATCACTGATAGACAAAAGGTGCAAATAATCGAGATTATCACTCCATTTATAGTTATAGTTTTCAACAAGACATAAATCTTCTAAATTTGAATGTTTTAAATAGACATCATAACCTCCAGGAGTAACATTTAAAATTACAAGAGCTTGATATTATTGGAAAGCTCTAGGTTATGAATGAAAATTAAAGAAATGATTGTTAGTTACCTTAGATAAACCCAAAGAACACAGAATACTACAGGTATATATATATATATTTTTTTGTTATGCTCTGAATTCTATCTGAAAGTATTCAAGAGCATAACGAAGGTGAATTGCTATAATGTGGAAGCAAACACCGAAACATTCCACGTGGTCTTCTCATTTGCAACCAGCTTCAATTACTTTATCTCTTCTTGTGTCAATGAACAGAACTACTGTACACACTGCTCAGAATTTCCCTGCTGTATTTTAGTTGGTGTCTGACAACAGACCCGATAAATTCCCACATGTATTATGTAATGCTAAACCAACGTCCTGGCTATTTAATAAATCATTTGGCTTCAGTACAAGGTTGTTGGAACAGGAGAGCTCTCAGATAGTCTGATCATCAGCTACCTTTTGATTTTTTAAACTTAATTTTAAAATTCTCTGTCACCTTGAGTAAATTTTTTAAATGAAAGTTTCGGTGATTATCTAATTGCAGAAGCTATTATGATATAATTAGTTCTGGTGGATTAGGCACTGCTTAAGACTATCCATTCTCTTGCCTGTTGCCTTTCTACTACACTGCGGCTTAGTTGTGCCTCGCAGCATTTATGTGCTGAGTTACACAGGGCCACACAGTGTCCATCAAAGACGACTACTCTGGCTGCATTTTTACATGTTGGAAAAGTAGTTGGAAAGTTTTAAAAAGATGCATAAGTAACACACACTGGACAAAGACACATGAAAACACTGGCTGCAAGATGGTATTAAAATAAGGAAAACCCAAAAGCACAGTTGCATCATCTTTTTTATATTGCCAAATGCTGTCTATTTTTAGAAACACTCTTAAATATCACTCAACTGGGCAGTTTTCCTGTGCTTCCTATAGTCTTACCTGAGAAGTGAGCAGCACTTTAGAACGGCATTTCCCAGGCACTGCAGGAGACCAAAGAGACAGACACGCTTTCTCTATCTCAGAAAAGCCACCCCAAGAAGCCACAGTAAACGCACGCGGGACATTTCCCTTCCTTTCACTTAGCTGAGGCTGGTGGCACTATCGGCTTAGAGGACTGGCTCTGCCTGCCTAAGCGCTTACTCACTTGAGGTGGAAGGTCAGGGTGAACAGATTAGAGTGTGGGGAGAGGAATGTCCACCGATCCTGATCTCAAACAAGTACAGACATCCCTCGAGAAAAGTGTCCTCAGAAAAGGCACAGCAAGTTCCTGGTGAATCAAACTAAGCAGAGTTCCTCTGTATCACCACCCTGGATTTCACAACTTTGAAACAAGATGCTTTTTTAAAAAGAGCAGAGCACAGAGGTTTTTTTTAAAAAAAAAAATTCTTGATGGCAAATCTTTGGCCGGAAAGAATGTGTGTATGTGTGAATGTATGCATATATGTGGCCACATAGTAAATATAAAATGGCTGATTAACAATGACATTGAATATATTTTTCTTTTGGAAATATGCAAGGTAATAGAGAAAGTCAAAAAGGTTAAATTTCAGTAGAATTAGAACTATGGTTCTGTTTTCTGTGTAAACTGAGTTTTTCCTGAGGACTTGCCATCTGAGCATGTATAAAAATGCAAAGTGGTTATGAAGTCCCTGTGTGGAATAATATAGGGTGGTTATGGGACTGAGAAGCTGTGAAGTAAAATGCTAAGAAATCTGTGGCTAGGAACATTTGATTATGGTCACTATATTTCAAGGCCGTCAATAAAAATTCAAAAAATGAGGAAGATCAGCGATAGCTCTCAAGTTGTTTACTTAGTGTAACTATCTCTCTAACCTGATTTTTACACAAAAACTACTGTAAGGTCCATTTCAAGCATTAGTTTATAAGAGGTCCGCAGAGGTAGAGAAAGAGATTACATAACCTGTAAAATGTTAAAAGGTTTTGTATGTAAAAGAATGTAATAAAAAAATAAAAAAATGCAATAGCTGAATTACCTGTAGTAGAATCTCAAGGTATGCCGAGAACTTTCGTTATGAACAATCAACCATAGGCCTAAGATAATTCCAGCAGCCTTTCTGCTACTTTTTTCCACATGAAAGCACCATTCTTGGAAAATGACAGTTTCACAGAAATAATTCCTTATTTAAAAAAAACCAAAAAACTACTATAGTTGTACTTTTGAGAGCTACAAGCTTCTGTTTTGGGTTTTGTTTTGTTTTGTTTTGTTTTTGCTTTTTGCCAAATGAAATAAAAGAAAAAGAAAATCAGACTGCTTACTGAAAAGGGGAACTCCGCTATGGCAGCCTTCTGTTCACTGTGCGTTTGGCATTAGCAGACAGATGAAGGCAAAGTGGTTTGGGAGCTGGACAGGTGCTAAAGACCATCACGCTCCTCCGGGGCTCTTTTTCTGGAGCCAGGTCCCTTGAGTGACATGCGCCTCCCCTCCCCCTATTTCAGCACTCTCTCTCCCCCTCTTCCTCCCTCCTTCCCTCCCTCCCACAAATCCCTCCCAGTAACACAGAAGAATCTTGACAGAATGGCAGGAAACACGCACAGACTAGTCAGGGAAGGATGTGATGTCAGCAACCACGAACAATAAAAGGTGTAAAGGTGCTTCCTTCCCTAAACTGCTCCAGAAGTGCAAAATGGGAACCAAAACTCTCCACTTCCTTCTCTGAGCAGAACAGTCTGAGTGTGCTGAGCCGTTCACCCCACACACAGGCCTTGGAGAAGTTCAGATAAGGGACAGTGAAGGAAATCCACACAGGGACTCAAGTCTTAATTTCTAGCTTTAAAACACCTGAGAAAAAAACACCATTTTAGCTCAAGGGTAGTGTTTTGTTATGATCACTACAAGAAATAAAAATAAGAAAACCAATAAAAAAAATCTGACTTTGGTGAAGCAAAAGATTGTCAATTAGTATCTACAATTCCCTACCAAAAAATCTTATGCACTTAAGGTAGTCATGAAGTCTGATTTATGCATTGAGACAAATAAAGAATTCTATAAGCAAAGAGCTGGGATACATAACATAAGTTCTGGTAAAAATTTGAGTCACGGAAATGGTGTCCCTCCAAAAAAAAAAAATCAATGTTTACTGGTAAAGCACACTGATTACTTGTTTGCCCCAATATTTTAAAGCAAAAGTTACTACATTAGGGAGAAAAAATTTCTTATATTATTGAGTGTCTCGAGGTTCTCAAAACAATTCAAACTAGAAAGCAAAATAACTAACAAATTCAGTCTGTAGTAAAACTAGTTTAATCTCATTGCTGGTAAGTTCTTTCTAACATGGAGATGGCAGCCTACCCTAAACTTTCTGTAGGAAGAAAGACACGTATCAAGTGGGTCTGAATCATTTCAGATTTCAATCATCTTCCCACAACACTTTGATTTAGAAATTAAACATAACCTTCAGTTATGTGTTTTGATCTTAGAGTGAGACTGCCATGCCACATTAAAAGATGTGGGAAGAAATTAATTCTCTCTGCTAAAATTATCTTTGCGAAGCATGTATTTTGCTACAATAAGTACAATGCAGTCACTTAAATAAAAACAGCCTATGAATAAGGATACAGCAGGGGAAATGTGATGTCAATTTGCAAAGAAAAGATTCTGGCTTCTTTTATTCATATTACCAAATAAGTTTTTTTTTTTATTGCTTTACATTTTTATTGCTGAAAATTAAGCACACTGTAACACACAACAAGAAATCACACTGTAAATAAATAGGAGGGAAACACTTGGTAAAAGGCAAAAATAATCATACACCCAGTTGCTGTGAGCCTGGTATTACCGATTCAAACAATTCAATGATTCATTATCATAAGAAGTGAAAGTCCTTGCCCATTATGTTGCATGCAGATAAATTTAATTTTCTACTTTATGATTTGTTTGTAAGACATATGAGGTGTGCAGCTGTACTTTGCTTAAAAAGAACAGCAGAACTTTTACCCTGTCTCCCTTACGAACTATTCTCAACCTCAAGTGATGTAACTGAATTATTATTCTTTTTGGTGCTTGACTATGTCATGGACTCAGGAGTATTTCCTGGGTCTTGAAAGCCACTTTGTCTGTCTTGATTGCTATGTGTGTTATCCCATGTTCTGTAACTGTAGCTATGAATGCAACCAATTCATTTTAAAGACTCCTCCTTCAAAGGATAATAAAAGAAC